TTTTTATTATAACGCTTGTTCTCTGAGTTGTAGTCATGAGTAGACACTTTCCATGTGCTTGTATTAGTTTGCTAGGCCTGGTGAAATAAAGTACCACCTTCCAGGTGGCTTAAACCACAGAAATTTATTGTCTCACAGTTCTGGAGGTGTATTAGGGTTCTTCAGAGACACGGAATCAATAGGAGAGAGAGAGAGAGAGAGAAAGAGAGAGAGAGAGATAGATGGATGGATGGATGGATAGATAGATAGATAGATAGATAGATAGATAGATAGATTTATTATGGGAATTGGCTCACATAATTATGGAGGCCAAGAAGTCCCACGATCTGCTGTCTGCAAGCTGGAGACTCTGAAATACTGGTGGTGGAATTCAGTCAGAGGCCAAAGGGCTGAGAACCTAGGGGTGGAGTGGGGAGGGGGAAGCACGCTGTCGTGTAAGTGCTGGAATCCTGAGGAATCCTGAGGCCCAAGAACCAGGAGCTCTGAAGTCAGGGGTAGGAGAAGATGGATGTGCCAGCTGGAACAGAGGGAGCATCTGTGCCCTTCCTCCTCTTTGTTCGGGCTCTCCAGAGATTGGGTGATGCATGTGGGTGAGGGCAGATCTTCTTTAAGGATTCAAATGCTGATCTTATCCAGAAACACTCTGAGAGATGCACACAGACATACTGTCTTACCAGCTATCTGGGTGTCCCTTAACCCACTCAAGTTGACACTTAACATCAACAATCACAGAGGGCTAGAAATCTAAGTCAAAGCTCTAGCAAGATTGGTTCCTTTTGAGGGCTGTGAGGAAGAATCTGGTCCAGGCTCCTCTTCCAGCTGCTGATGTTTTGCTGGTCATCTTTGGTGTTTCTTGGCTTGTAGAAGCATCACCCAAATCTTTGACTTCAGTTCACCTGGTGTTCTCCTTGTGTGTGTCTGTGTCCAAATTTTCCCCTTACATAACACCAGTCATATTGGATTACAGCCCACTCCAGTATGATCTCCTCTTAACTAATCATATCTGCAATGACCCTATTTCCAAAGAAGGTCACATTCTGGGGTACTGGGGCTTAGAACTTCAGTGTATGAATTTTAAGGGGACACAAGATGTCCGTGACAGTGCTGTGTTAAGTGACGGGAAGGATGAATTTCCTTCTTCACTTGCACTTTCTTTCTTGAAGTTTTGTTTGAAGCTGCTTGGAGACATCTCTGCATCCTGTCTTATGTGGATGCCACACCCACTGCAGAGATTACTTGAGATGTCAAGGTTGGAAAAGAAAGAGAGGGTGCTTTTGAAGGGAGGAGGGTAAGAGTACAGACAAAGGAAGCTGTCAATAAAGCTTGTCATTGTCACAATGTCACATGTGTCACAATTGTCACACTGCCAATAAAGACATGCCCAAGACTAGGTCATTTATAAAGAAAAAGAGGTTTAATGGACTCACAGTTCCACATGACTGGGGAGGCCTCACAATCATGGTAGAAGGCAAGGAGGAGCAAAGGCACAGGAGGCGAGACCATTTGCAGGGGAACTCCCCTTTAAAAACCATCAGATCTCCTAAGACTTACTTGCTGTCATGAGAATGGCACAGGAAAAACCCACCCCCATGATTTAGTTACCTCTCACCGCATCCCTCCCACAACATATGAGAATTATGGGAGCTACAATTCAAGATGAGATTCAGGTGGAGGCACAGCTGAACTGTATCAGAAGCTTTGCCAAGAAGACCCTGAGTAGCGGGAACTCTCCTCTCTTCCTTGGCATTACCCTGGGAAGGCTGTGTGGCTCACCTGGGGACTGTGCCTCTGGCAGGAAAGCCTTGTGCAGTCTGCTCCTTAGAGAAGGCATGGCTTCCTGAATGAGACGGTCAGTAGCACAGACGGGCTGAAGATGAGAGGTTACATTCCACATTCCCAAAACCATAATATCCCCCAGATTCCTGCGTGTCCCTAAGGAGAGAGAGTCAGAATGAGAAGTGGCATTTAATTTCCTGCTACCCTAGAGAAACAAGAAATGGAATTTGTTAATTTTTAAAATGAAAAAATGTGAATTTTCTCTATTTATGGAATGTGTGATTACAAATTCACGCAAACTCCCGTGTCTAATTTTTTTTCCTTTTTTTTTTGTTTTTTTTTGTTTGAGACTGAGTTTTGCTCTTGTTGCCCAGGTTGGAGTGCAATGGCACAATCTTGGCTTACTGCAACCTCTGCCTCCCGGATTCAAGTGATTCTCCTTGCCTTAGCCTCCCGAGTAGCTGGGATTACAGGCATATGCCACCACGCCTGACTAATTTTGTATTTTTAATAGAGACGGGTTTCTCCATGTTGGTCAGGCTGGTCTCGAACTCCCGACCTCAGTTGATCTGCCTGCCATGGCCTCCCAAAGTGCTGGGATTACAGGCATGAGCCACCAAGCCCAGCCCGTTGTCTAAGTTTTTTAAAAAATTCAAGTGTGAGTCTGAGCTTCCCTTGATTTTGTGTCTAGAAGAGAAGTGTCAGAATGGCTGGCTGCTTTCCCAGCCTCTGGGCCTTTTGCTGCAGCACTGAGTTGCCAGCCTGCTTCCCATGGGCAGAGAATTTTACCCATCTAGGTAATCAGGAAGAGCTTGTTCAATGAGTGAAGGGTGAGTCACACTGCATTGGCACAAACACTTGGCAACAATGAGTGTCCTTTACAATGGGCTCTATGGGACAGCCCTTTGGGGGAGATGGGCCAGCCAGACCTGAATAGAGGGCTGGATTGAAAACTGACAGTGACAGCTGGAAGTGAACTTGAGAGACCCAACAAACTTGTTGTTGGAGAGAACTAGGGCAGCTGCTCAGAGGCATAGCTCAGAGGAGAGGATTTCACTCAGTATTTATTGAGCGCTTATTATGTTCAAGGCCCTAAGAGGGAATATGTAGAAAAACACTGTTCTCTAGAATCTTAAGATCTAAGCATCAGAGAGTGAATGCCACAAACAATAAGTGTGGCAGATGCCATGACCAACATAGACAAAGACTAAGTATTACACCAGCTCAGAGATCAGAGATCTGGGGATGGGGAACGCCACGATAGGCCGGGAAGTCTTCGCAGAGAAAACTGCATCTGAGTGCCTTTTGAGGCCTGCTGCAAACTGTACTTTCAATGCCAGTGGCCCCTCTCACTATCTCCCCAACAATGATTGCATTCACAAAGACAGAGCAGGGGAATGAAGTCACATGTGTTACCACATGGGCAATTACAAGTCTCAGTTGGGTTAGGGCGGTTTTGCACCTTAACTCTCTTCCTGCAGCCCCAGATGCTCCTATGCAGTCCCCCAGCTTGACTCTTATACCTCTGTATGCCATGAGAATGCCTGCATCTTAATACAGACCACTTTATTGTGGGGAACACAGTACAACGTCCACTTCTTGTGCATTTGCAGTCACCCACCCATGCATTCCCTGAACCCTTCATTCATAAGTAGTACTCAACCAAGAACTTCTCTGGTATCCCAACTTGGACATGGGAGGTGTGAATATATTTTTCATAAAGCTCAGGCCTTTATGCAGAACTATTTTATACATCTTCTAGTGAGAGGCTGGAGTAACAAAGTGCTGTTGTTAAGATTCTTCCCATTGTGCATTTTTCTTGAATAATGACATTTCTAAAAAGAATCTGAAACTGAGGCATTAGAAGGCAAGTGCTCGTTCATATCTTTGAAGAGGTCAAATATTTACCAGAATAACTTCTCAATACAGAGGAGGCAGATTTTATTTTATTTTATTTTACTATAAAAATGTATGGGTAGCAGAAGACAAATTATGCAGAGCTTTGAGTTAGTTAATAATCATCTCATTTAATTCTTTGGAGAAATGAGACAAACTGTAGCTCAGGACTATGGAGTTGTTTTAGTTTGCCAGTTATATTTAATTTGACTATCTATTTATTGAGAGACAAAGTCTTACTCTGTTGCGTAGGCTGGAGTGTAGTGATGCAAACACAGCTCACTTCAGCCTTGACCTCCTGGGCTCAAGCAATCCTCCTGCCTTGGCCTCCCAAAGTGTTGGGCTTACAGGTGTAAGCCATGGTGCTCGGCCTATTTGACTTGTGTAACCCCTCCCAAGGACTCATACATACTATTGCCACCTCATTTTCCACATAAGAAAATGGAAGCACGAAAACGTTAAGTAACTTGCTTAATGGCTAGTAGGTGGTAAAGCTTGCATTTAGATCACACAGTGTGGAGGGTCTGCTATTAAGGAAAAACGATGTTCTAGTGGGGTTTCCGTTTAATATTGCAGAAAAAAGAATCTTTATATTGAAGAAGGTGTTATTTCATGCATACTCGTAGGTTTTGTTCATATATGCACATCTGACATACAATTTAACATTTGTGTAACTTGAAGCTCCTATGGGGAGTGGCAGAAGATACAGGAATTCGATTAATGCCTTCGCAGATCTTAGATTCCAACAAGCTAGATATCTTAAGAAAAAGAAAGAAATTGCTATGCTTGGATCCCAGATGTCCATTCCACCTTTTGGGACCCCCCGGGGGGGGCCTCTCTTCTCCATCCTTCTAGACAAGCAGGTAGTGGGATGAACAGACAGACTTTCCTTGCGAGGGTTGGCTCAGGAAGGCTCTGGGCTCATCTCACAGCCCCCCCCAGCAAGGGTCTGGGACGCAGGTGCTGGCTCCGGTGGGGTATGCAGCAGAGCAGGACCGGAGCCCAGGGCGCAGCTGCGCAGCTTAACGCCGGTTCGCGCCCTGGTTTAGAGCGCTGGGCTGGGTCACCCCTTCTTTCCTAGCTTGCTGATATATGTTCCCTCGGTGTGGGAATCAGGGGAGTGTCTTCTGGAAACCACTAAAGCAGGAGTAGCATTTTCATGTTAGCGTGCGCAGGCGGTCTCCGCAGCCCCTCGTGGTCCCGGAGCCTGTCCTGGAGGCCTGCGGGGCGGCTCCCGGCCTCGGGCGGGCGCAGGCGGGCGGCAGAGGGCGCTGTGCGGCTCGGGGCGGGGGCGGGGGCGGGGGCGGGGCCGAGCCTCCCGCGTGCCCGGCCTCTGTGCGCGCTCGCGCCCCGCCCGCGCCGCCGCCTCTCCCCGCGCGGGCTCTAGGCAGGCGGGAGGCAGCAGGGCCGGCGTTGCAGAGCGGGCCGTGCGGGCTGCGCGGGCGCGGGCAGGCGCGGGCGGCAAACGGCGGGCACCCGGCACCCCGCAGCCGGTACCGGGCGGAGCCGTGGAGCCGCGCACCGCGGAAGAGCAGGCCCAGGTAGGGTGACGCGCGTCCCCTTTGTGTCGGCATCGCCCGGGCCGGCAGCGGAGCGGGGAGGGCGGGACGCGGCGCTGCGGTGCCGGCCTTGGTGCTCGGGGCTTGCGGCCGCGCCTGCCCCGCTGGGTCCTGCCCGGGCGCCGGGTGGCAGCGGGCGGGGGGCAGCGTCCCTGGCGGGGACTCGCGGGTTCGGTGCAGAGGACGCCCGCCCAGCCGTGCCCATGTCCCTGCCCTCGTCCCTGCTCTGCTCCTGCCCTGCCCTACCTCTCGCTGGTGGCGCCCTCGCCTCAGCGCAGTGGGCGCTTAGGGACCTGGCGGCCCCCTGCTTGCGCTGCGCGGTCGCGGGTCTGCGCTGCGGCGCGGGATCAGGGCGCTCCGGGCCAGGGTCCCGCGGGCGATCTGGCGGCGGGGCTTTCACGGTTCGGGGCCCCGCCCGCAGACCCTGGGGCTGGAGCCTCGGTCCCAAGAGCAGGTCTGGGAAAGGACTACGCTCCCGGGGCACCGCCACCGGCGGGGAAGGTCGGAACTGGCCAAGAGGACGCCCCTCACATCCCCTGCGCGCGGGGTCCGCGGCCACTACTGCCCCCAGTACCCACCGCGAGCCCTTTCCCGGGGAATGAGCCGCCGCCCAAGCCCCGGAGTTCCCTGCGGGTCTTACCCACCCCAGCCTCCTGCCACCGCCCCCAAGCCGCCTGCACTGTGCTTGGCTCCCAGCTGTTTGGTCCCTTATGCCATCCTGGAGGCTTCCTGGTTCTGGGGTGAAGGGGTGACTTCTTTACCCTAATGGTCTTCGTAGGCAGGTCTCAGGATGTCCACTCCAAAGTTCGTGGTCTTTTTTCTAGCTAATAATAATTTTTAAAATCCTTTGAACAAATATCCTGCGCTGCCTCCTGCAGGGTCCAGGCTGGGGTAACAGAGGAATGAGACAAGGCCCCAAGAAACTATCCCCAGTGGATCCCTGCTGCCCTGCGGTGAGAGGGGGTCTGGCTCCTGCACTGGGAGACTGGGAAGAAAGCACTTCCCGTAGTGGGGCCTGGAAGATGGAAGAAGGACATGCCCCAGTGAATGGGGCTGGGGTTGGGGGTTGAGAGTTGATCCTGGCACCTAAGATGCATTTGTAATGGAATGCCAGGCAGAAAGTAAGTTGGTGTAGGCGCATGTGGAGCTGTGGGAGTCCCTAGGAGTCAGGGTGGCTTTGCAAGGGAGGGGGGGTCTGAGGCAAAGCTTGCAGGTGGGGCAGGTCCAAGGTGGCAGGAAGGGCCTCTGTCCAGAGGGAGCTGCTCCAGCAAAGGAAGGGGGAGGGACACCGTGAACTTTCCCAGGGGGTTCACCCAGTGGTTCCAAAGGAGACAACAGCCTTTTTGATTGTATTCTCTTCTCCAGTACTGAGATTAGGGAACCTCGTTTTTTGCACTTTTCTAGTGCCTTTTACATTTTTTGTTTTTATTTTTAAAGCGTGCAAAGGAAATGTGACTAGAGGGGTCAAATGAGGATGTATCGTGAAATATTTGAATTCTAGGCCAAGACTTTGGGTTTGACTCTGTGTCAGTGGGAGCCATTGATAGTTTTGGAGGAGGAGAGTGATCTGAGCCCTGCTCCAGAGTGATTGCCACAGTGTTGAGTGGAAGGGAAGGCATGGTGCCGTGTGCCTACTGTGGCTTCAGAGTCAGACCCCCACTGGCTGTGGACTTCCACCTGCATCAGGCATCGAAGGTTGTGGATGGATTGAGGACCTCATGAGAAAATGGGTGCAAATAACCCAATTTTAATGGGATGGAAATTTTCCAGACCCAGTGCAATTTGATTTTTGCAGTTTGTGTTTTTAAAGAGGCCCTGATTCTAATGTCAGGAACTCTGGAAGAGGAACTAATGAAGGGCAGACTCAATTGCACGATGCAGGCACCCCCAGGTCGTCTGTGCCATGAGGATTTGGGAAACTCAAAGAGCATTGTAAAATGTATATATTTTATAAATAGATTCCAGTGCCCTCAGCTTGCTAGCTGGTAATCCCTGTATCCAGACTGTTACTAGAGTAAGTCACGTCTCCTGGGGATTCAGTGTGGTTTGGGACTTTGAAGGGACCTCACACTGTTTGGCTGAAGCTGCTGAGGTTCAGGGGTAGACGTGCCACTCTGGCAGGCAGCAGCAGGGCCGGGAGCTACAAGCCACGTTGCCTGCCTCTGAGAACATTTTTTTCCCCTGTGGTCCACCATGTGGCCCCACTGCCTACTTTTGTTCACATGTCTCCCTCCTAGAAGCCTTTCCCTCTGGGGATAGCGATGGAAAGGAAGCCTGCCCTTGGAGACTGACAGTCATAGAACCAGGTGGGTCAGCACCCATCTGCCCTAAGAACCCTCATTGTAACCATGGGAACCTTGTGGCTTGGAGAGAAGGGGTCAGGTAGCCCAGGCCACATGATAAGCTGTGGCTGGTCCAGCCCTGGCATCAGCTTTTCTGGTTCTGTCTGCTGTCCCTTTTTTCCCCACACCTCACTTGCAATAGTGCATGAAGCTGTGCTCACTGCCCTGCGTGTTGGGTGGTCTGGAACCACTCAGGATGGTACTGAGCCCTCCGACTCTCCCAGGGAACTGCCAAGCAAGGAACCCCTGGCTTCCCAGGATGTGGGATCTCAGAGGCAGCCCAGAGGCGGGGAATGGAATGGAATGCTTCTAAGGAAGAGGGACTCTCCGTATTTTCTCTGGGGAATTTTCTAACTTTGAGATCCAAGAATGAAGTTGAAGGTGCCTTTCTTTTCTTTAAGAAGTAATCTTTTCCAAGACCAGCCTCTTTTCTCCGTTGTTTCTGCATTACTGAAACATATGAATACCCTTTCTTAATTAGATGAAGAAATTAAATTGAAGCCACTGCTCACATACCTGCTGGGTAGTGGGGCTGAAGAATAGAGCTTATTACAATTTCCTGACCCAGCTGTCTGGCCCTGGGCCAGCGTCTTAACCTCCCTGGATGGCTCCAGTGTTTTGAGGATAAAACTGAGGTGTTGGCCTAAATATTTTCCAAGATCCAGAAATAAAAATGTACTGTTGGATCATATTTTTTTTTCCAGGAGAATAAATATTACAGGACGACTCACCAGGTACAACCATACGTAAGGGTCTGTTTGTTTATTTCCCAAGAGAAAATATTTTAACTTTCAGAAGAGTGGCTTTTTTCCGGAGTGAAATGGTGAGAAATGAAGCTTTGAGGAGGGTGCCTCATTGCCTTCACCTTGCTCCACTCCACACATAACCCAAGACCTGAATTTAAAGGTGCTTACTTCCTGGATGTTCCGTAGAACTGGAAGATGGCCTTTCTCTAAGGAGCAGGCTTATAAGCTGGATGCAGTGTTCCAGACAAAAGCAAGCTCCTTGATGGCATGAAGTGTGTCAACCAGTATTTTATCATCTCAGGTGTGTTTGGCACTCGAGGTGGAGGAGGTGGTGGTTAATATTCATTATGCATTTGCCTGACGTTCAGGGTTTTGCTTGGATTGTGGATGCAGTTCTCACACAGCCCCATAGCACAGGCATATGTGGCTGTCCCTAACTGACAGAGGAGCAGAGTGAAGTAGAGAGCAGGGATGTTATCCAAGGTCGCACACACTTCGTCAATTTTGAATCCTGGCTTTGAACCCAGAGGCCTGCAGATAAGGACAGATCCCATGACCTTGAGGAGGCTGTTGTCTAGGGAGCGGGAAGCTCAAACATTAACAGATGGTTTGAACGGTGGTGTCAGGGCAGCATGGGAGGTCAGGGCAGAGTGCAGTGGGACTCATAGGAGGATGCCTGGGTCAGCCCTGGGTGGCAGGGAGGCTGCTTGCTGGGGCGATGCTGCTGGTCTGGGATGGGAGGGATGGGTCAGAGTTAGCTAGGCAAATTAGAGGGTCAAGGTCACATTCAGGGCCTGGGAACTGCAAGAAACAGCCTGGGGTGGACAGGGAACTTAGGACCAGCACACAGGGCCAAGCTCCCCAGCTGCCTGACTTACCACTAGCCTTTTTAGGGTGGCTGGTGGTCTCTGAGCTGTTTGGACCTAGATTTCCATGTGTGACACAGCCGCTTCCATTACTGGCATCTCCTGGAAGCTCCCATCGCTGCATTTTCGTTTTCACTGTTTTGTTTTGGGGCCTCTTTCTCTGTATTCCCTCCGTTTCCTTTCTTCCTCCTCCAGTTCTACCTGGTGGCAGAGTGAGTTCGGGGAAAGATCCGGGAAACCACCCATAGCGACCATTGTTTTTACAGTCAGTCACTTTGCTCCCATGTCTTCCGAGTGACCCATAGTTGCCTGGGGCCAGCGACTGGGAACCTCTGAACTCGACATTAGCCCAGCGCAGGTGCTGGATATGGCAGTGCAGGCTCTGGGGGCTTCTGCCTGTGGGAGCAAAAGGGAAGGGTTCCAAGTCCTGAAAGTGGATGCTGTCAGAGTCTTTTACTGACTAAACGGGATTTTGTATCTGTCCTAGGACTGTGCACATCTCTTACAACATTGTGTTCCTGGGAATACTATTTAGGTTTCCCAAGAACGGCTTTCAGGTAATTGTTTGGAGCAGGGCATGTTTATTGTTGATGTGTGGTGTGTGAAGGTCCTCTGGAGGGCAGGGGAGTGCCGAATGCAGCAAGCTCGACTGCCTCCTGCGAGCCATGCAGAGGGGACCTGCCCGCTTTTTCTTCTTTTTCTTTTTCTTTCTTTCTTTCTTTTTTTTTTTTTTTTTTTGAGATGGAGTCTTGCTCTGTCGCCCAGGCTGGAGTGCAGTGGCGCGATCTTGGCTCCCTGCAAGCTCCGCCTCCCGGGTTCACGCCATTCTCCTGCCTCAGCCTCCTGAGTAGCTGGGACTACAGGCGCCTGTCACCACCACGCCTGGCTAATTTTTTTTGTATTTTTAGTAGAGACAGGGTTTCACCATGTTAGCCAGGATGGTGTGGATCTCCTGACCTCATGATCCGCCTGCCTCGGCCTCCCAAAGTGCTGGAATTACAGGCATGAGCCACCGCGCCTGGCCGACC